TGATCTTATTAGTTATTATTTTGACCACTACGAGAAAATACCTTCTTGCAACACTTAGATTGCAACACTTTCTGAAAGAGTTACCTTAGATATACAATAGCAACACTTTTTTTATGAAGTTGCGAAAAAACCCCTCTTGCAACACTCAGATTGCAACACTGAGTGAAAAAGTTGCCTTAGATATACAATAGCAACACTTTTTTTAAAGTTGCTATAAGTAGTTTACGAAACTCAAATCAATTATATGTTGTATTTGCTCTATTATTCGTAACACAAAACCACAATTAATTTTTGGGTTGCTAAATCTATTGCTTAAATATTTCTAGCTTATATCTATTGCTTAAATATAAAAACAATTTAGCAATTAGCAATTTCTTTAACAACAATTTATTAAAATTCGTGGAGGGAGAATTCACTTTGCTTCGAATTCACTTTGGCTCGAGAGGGCTCCAAAATTTTCATTTCTTTTTGTAGAATTGGCTCCGACATTTGCCTCCAATAATTTTTGCCGCCCCTGTTCTATTTTTTTTTTGGCCGAATGTGTCTTTAAATTCAAAATTAGGGTTCTTAGGAAACTCAGAAATAAACGAAAGGAACCAAGTGACAGAATAAACAAGTTCCACAAAATCCAAATATTACTGAAGAACCCTAATTTCTAATTCTGAGATTAGAAAGAAAGAAAGCGTGAATTACCCTTATATGTCAACCTAGGGATTCAGAGCATTAAGCGGGAGAAGAGCGCCATCATACGGTAAACAATCTAAGAAAGGAAGAGCCGCGAAATTTAGGCGGTCTCTCCAAAAAATTCAGATGTACTATTTCGCAAAAAAGAACCCGCTAAATTTTAGCCGCTCTCTTTCAATCTACACAATAAATAAAAGTCAAACGAGAAAACTTGAAGCCCCATTTCAAATTTCCTGCATCCAGAGTGAAAGTAGGAAGGACGTTTTGGTCTTCACAATTACGTTTTTTTTATTCATTAAAAAGACACTTACTAGGATTCGAACCATGACCACTTTAAAGAAAAGCAAAGATTATAACCATTCACACTAAGTACATTTGTTGTATTCTTTTAAATTAAAACATATAATCGCTGAGAAGAAAAAACTCTTCCCCCATTTCAAATTCTCTGCTCCATGAGCGTTTGTAGGAAGGGTAGAATAGGGAGTGTCAATGTTTTTCTTTTTCCTATGTGGAACGGGCCAACTTACCGTACACATGCGGATTTAAACGGGTCCAGGAGTGTCAATTTTTTTTCTTTAAGTCCTTTTATTTCTCCGTGGTGGTAAAATATATATGAAAAGGCAAAAACAATACTCATTTTTATTGCTAAAAAGAAAAAAAATTTAACAATAAACTAATGCATGGATTCTAATGGGCTAACCGCTAATCATAAAATAAAAGAGTTGAACGGGTCTGACCTACACGGGATTTGCCCATCAAGTAAAACAAATGAACATTATGGATTTGTCATTCTAAAACAAGCTATTTTCTCTAGCATAATATATATTATGCTATTATTTCATATCTTAGTGGCTAAAATATAATGTATTTTAAAGTTATTCAATGGTTCAACCTCGACAACCCAATTAGTCCAATTTTTTTCATTTCAAATATATATTATGTAATTATTTGATATCATAATGATTAAATTATAGGGAATCGTTTGGTATTCGTTAGTAAAAAACTAAACAGAAAGATCTATTTGGTTATTTTTAACATTAAAAAGATCCTAAACTTTTTCAGTTTCTTTTCGAAATTGTATAGTTTTATTCCCGAATCAGTGATGTGCAAATGGCGAATTGCAGTCATCTCTTTTCTTTCTTTATTTTTTATTTTCAAATTGAAAGTTTAAATGTAAAGAATAATTAGAGTTTGGCATGGGTCGGTCAAACAGGCTGAATTTCAAGTTTTGGTCCGTTTTGATCAAGTCTAATTTATAATCACATGGTTCCCTGATACCCGATAAAAATCTCAATCTAAACCAGTTTGGCAGGTGAGTTCGTGTTTACCACCATTTTCTAGGGATACAGGAATGGTGGTTCCTATCCCAAATCGTGTTGTTCATTCTTGATTTCTTTAGATTTTATCATGGCTTGGCAAAAAACTAGAAAGCACAATGATGACAAGATGAAAGTTTTATAAAGCAAATTAATCGGCCAACGGGCCGAGTAAAAGCTAGCAACGATTGTGAGATGCTCATTTCCCGAAAACCGACGGGATAGGCGATTTTTTATTCGATTTTCTGGAATTCGGTTTCTATAAAACTTATTCTACCTCATCATATTACCAGAAACAATATTGTTTCACAAGGTAACATGTACTTGATTTTGCTTCATAAGGCTGATTTTTTATTCGTTGCATCATTCATGTCTCTTTCCTACTAAAATTCACTGTTTTTATCACGTGTTTCCCATAAAAAAAAAAACTATAAACAATAAGCTATACACCTCATTACATTATCAAATTTCACTAGTTTATTTTGAGAGAAACAAGGAGCTGTGAGTAAGCGGGAAAGTTTCCCTCGTTAGTGAAAATTTGGCCAATTTTTGTGTTTGTCAACAGAAAATTTAGCAGCTTTGGTTTGTAAATATTTGAATTTTTTTTTTTATAAATGTAGGATAGGATGATAACTTATTTGGCTCTTTCTCTGAACTCGTGTCGAGTTTTTTATTTTCGTTCCTATAATACTTTTAGAGTGTAATTCTATGATCTTTATATCAATCAATATGATTATTTTTTGTTAAAAAAATGATAACTTATTAAATAAATGATTGAAATTTTGTTAAACACACATTATTCACTGGAATTTTACCATGACAAAGCATTAATCACGGGAAATTAAAACTATACAATGAACTTTTCAATTACTGTGAGTAGAGTATACAATTTATCATGGGAATTTTCCCCGTGATTTATCATGGGAAGAAGATACCGTGTCTAGAAACCAGTTTTCCTGTAGTGTTGTATGATCAATTAGATTTGTATAGCTTTTATTTATATCTTTGTATGGTTAGATCATGTGATATGATCACTTAGATTTGTATAGTCGGGCTGCGGGTTGGTCGGGTTACGAGTTCGGGTTAGTCAGGTTGCGGGTTGGTCGGGTTGCGGGTTAATCATGTTGCAGGTCGATTGGGTTGCAGGTTGGTCGGGTTGCGGGTTGCTCAGGTTGCGGTCGATCGAGTTGCGGGTTGGTCGGGTTGCGGGTCGATCGGGTTGCAGGTCGGGCGGGTTACGGGTCATTGACTTTTAGTCAAATCGGGTTGCGGGTCGGGTTGATCGGGCGGGTTACATTTTGACAGCTTTATCCATAGTTAGCAAAAAAACGAGAGAACAACATGTACTCTATTACATGAATGACACTAAAGTGCGGAGTTCTAGAGCTGACTCAAATGATATGGACACAAGGGCTTGGCCTGGGAAGAAGAAATCGAACCCCACCACGAAATTCAGCGCAAGATCCTAACCAGTACGAGACTATCTTGGAGAGAGATAACTAAACCATATCTGGAAAAAAATAAGTGTCGATGGGTGAGCCGACATTCAGTGAGTAATAATTACAATTCGCGACAAAGACAAACACTTAGAGAAACCTTAACCAATATGTGCAGAGGAATAAAACAGATTCAACAACATGACATTTAGTGAAGCTAAAAAGAAATCAAGTTCAAACTCTCCAACCGTTTAGCTTGTTACCCAACCCTCAATTTTCCTTTGGAGATAGTCATAGAACATATATTAGTAAGCTGAACAGTAGCAGTTGAAAAGGGATCCCACCATTTAAAATCCAAGGGAAAAAAACCTAACCATTGACAACTACATGATCAACCCCCTTTCATTTCCTGAAGCTTAGATGGGCAAAACGTCATATCAGTTGCAAGATTCAAACCTTTATAACAAGCCAACAAGAAAATTCCAGTAGATCGTTCAAATCCTTTAAACAAACAACCAAACTTTAAAACAAATATACTCGGTATGTCAACTGACCAATAATTTGACTGATAACATATTCACAGAACAGAAATGGTAAATGCACAGTACCGAACGGATACAGACCATCTACCTCCTCCACAATGAGCTAGTGAGATGCAAGCATCCATGAAACTATAACATGTGACAGTGCAATGCGAGTATCTACATGCATATGACGTGTATGCCAATAATGCAAATGTATGTCTCCGCACATCGTGGGAATCAAATAACATATAGCAGATACAGATAGCGGATTTGGATACAGATGTAGTTTCCAATGGTCTCCGATGAAAAAACCAAGTTTCAAATACTCATCGAACAATTTCCGATAATCAAATCCATGTTGGGCGCAGCGGGTGAGAATAGCGGGTAAATATATTGCACTAATAAATTACACGCTTGTAAAAAGTTCACAGGTAAGTTGGACCTGGTGGCAGAGCCTCCAGAATTACGGTAACCAACTTACTTAGATCAATTTACTTCGGTAATTTGATAATGCAATATACTACGACTATTCTCAAAATAGCAACAAGCATAGATAATAATAAATGACACCGAGGATTTACGTGGTATACCCTGATTTTGGGCCAGTCCACGGGAACAGCAGCTCCGGAGTATTTCTTTACTATAACAATGGTAGGTTACAGAGATTTTCTCGATACAAGAAATAGAACACACGGTGTTTCCCAAACAACCTCACTATTTCACTCACAAGGAAATCTCCTATCTACCCGTGGTAGTGAAAACGTGTCACTATCAAAAAACCCACAAAAGAAATACGAACAGAAGCAGAGCAAAGGAAATGGAGAATTATGGAATGGTGAGGGATCATATTTTGAGGCTACTGCCTCTGCCTTTTATAGGCTAGCAAGGAAGAGGGGATTAATTCTAGTGGTTGGATTGCCAACCGTCATCTCCTCCCTCAATTTAAGTTTTGTTTTTTTTTTAATCACAATTTCCACCGCCAACCTTGTTGGCCTCTTCTCTACCACATGAGGAGGGCACAACAATTCTCCCCCGCCCGACTACATGGGCGAATTCATCATCCCTGCAGCTGATCGACAGAACTCAAACTTTTCTCTTGGAAGAGTCTTGGTACACATGTCAGATCCATTTTCGTCGGTATGGATCTTTTCCAGTTGTAGCTGTTTCATTTCAAGCACATCTCGGATCCAGTGATATCGGACATCAATATGTTTTGATCGAGCATGAAATGAAGCATTCTTCGCAAGATGAATAGCACTTTGACTGACAGAACAACTGCGGTCGTTCCTGTAGGAACCCAAGTTCATTTAGGAACTTCTTCATCCATATCATCTCCTTGCATGCTTCCGTTACTGCTATATACTCAACTTCTGTTGTGGAAAGAGCTACACACTTTTGTAGCCTTGACTGCCACGATATTGCTCCCCCTGATAAGGTAATCAGGTACCAAGAAGTGGACCTCCTCGAATCAACATCACCTGCCATGTCAGCATCTGTATAGCCAACAAGGACAGGTTCACCATCTCCAAAACATAGACTCATTTTGGAGCTACCTCGAAGGTATCTGAGGATCCACTTCACAGCTTCCCAATGTTCCTTTCCTGGTTTGGAAAGAAACCGACTGACAACTCCAACTGCATGAGCAATATCTGGCCTTGTACACACCATGGCGTACATCAAACTTCCCACTGCTGAAGCATATGGAATTTTATCCATCTCCGCCTTTTCCTTCTCAGTAGACGGGCTCTGTTTGGATGTCAATGTAAAATGGTTAGCAAGAGGACAGCTAACCGCCTTAGCATTATCCATGTTGAAACGTTGAAGTACTTTCTCAATGTACTTCTCTTGTGACAACCATATTTTCTTAGCACCTCGATCCCGAACGATCCTCACGCCAAGAATTTGCTTTGCTGGTCCCAAGTCTTTCATGGCAAAAGACTTGCTCAACTCCTTCTTCAAATCATTGATCTTTGAGACTTTTTGCCCAGCAATTAGCATATCATCCACATAGAGCAAAAGTATGATGAAATCTCCATCAGGAAATTTCTTCACGAACACACAGTGGTCTGAAGTAGTCTTCATGTAGCCTTGCTCCCCCATAACAGACTCAAACTTCTTATACCACTGTCTTGGTGCCTGCTTCAAGCCATACAAGCTCTTACGGAGCCTGCACACATAATCCTCCTTTTTCTCCTTCTTGAAGCCTTCTGGTTGCTCCATGTAAATCTCTTCCTCCAAATCACCATGAAGGAAAGCAGTTTTCACATCCATTTGTTCAACCTCCAGGTTAAGACTTGCTGCTAGTCCCAGCACAGTACGAATGGATGTCATCTTCATCACAGGTGAAAATATCTCGTCAAAGTCAATGCCTTTCCTTTGACTGAAGCCTTTCACGACTAGTCTGGCTTTGAAGCGTGGCTGACGGTTGTGTTCATCATGATTGATCTTGAACACCCACTTGTTCTTCAAAGCTCTCTTGCCTTTTGGCAACTTCACCAGCTCAAATGTGTTGTTCTCATACAAGGAATCCATCTCGTCTTGCATGGCCTCTATCCACCTTTGCTTGTGTTCATCATTCATAGCTTCTGTGAAGCTTTCTGGTTCTCCGCCGTCAGTAAGTGAGACGTATTCAGTCTCGGGATATCTGGTAGACGATCGTGAAATTCTACCAGATCTTGTTGTTCGAACAGGAGAACCTTCTATGGCTGGTGGTTGACCATCGTCATCAGCATCTTCTGGTTGAACCTCCATATGGGCATCTGGTTCAACTATCTCAGGCTGATCATGATGTGCTTCCTCTCCAACTTCTGTAGGCGCTGGTGTTGGAGGCACTAGCTCAAGGTTAGCCTGACTAGCATCAGTACTAGGAACTTCTTTCCTAGCAACAACATCTTCGATGGTCTCATTTTCGATGAACACAGCATCACGACTTCTTATAAGCTTCTTTTGGATTGGATCAAAGAATCTATAGCCAAACTCATCTTGACCATAGACAATGAATACGCACGGTCGTGTCTTTGAATCCAACTTTGACCTTTCATCTTTTGGAATATGGACAAAGGCCTTGCAACCAAACACCCGCGAATGTTTGTAGGAAACTTCTTTTCCTGTCCACACCTTCTCTGGGGCGTCATACTTCAGTGGCACATTGGGTGACCTGTTCCACACATAAACTGCTGCAAGCAGTGCCCCCCCAGAAAGATTGTGGTAGCTTCGAGTGTGATAACAAGCACCTGACTCTCTCTAGCAGGGTCCTGTTCATCCTCTCAGCTAGCCCATTCAATTGCGGTGTCTTTGGTGGTATGAATTGCTGCCGAATTCCATGTTCCTTGCAAAAGGTAGCAAACGGACCTCTGTACTCTCCACCATTGTCAGTCCGGATGCACTTCAGCTTCTTGCCAGTTTCCCTCTCCACCAGGGCCAGGAATTGTATGAAAACGTCTAGGGCCTGATCCTTGGTCTTCAAGGTATACACCCAAGTCTTCCGTGAATGGTCATCAATGAATGTCACGAAATATCTGGCACCTCCAAGTGATTTGACATTGATATCGGGTTCACAGAGATCTGAGTGAACTAGATCCAACACGTTTTTTGCTCTTGAAGGGATGGAACTTTTGAAAGCAACTCGGTTTTGCTTTCCCGCAAGGCAATCAACACACTTCTTTAGATGAACATGATCCAACCCAACTATGACCTTCTTCTGGGCCAACTTTGCCATGGACTTCTCACTCATGTGACCGAGCCGTTTGTGCCACAATTCAATTGTGTCACCATTCTCCGCTGAGTTGACAATCTCTGGGGAGATCTTGGCTTCCGTCACATACAGCTTTGACAGCTTCTTGCCCTTGGCCAACACCAAGGAGCCTCTGGTGAGTGTCCACTGGCCATTGTGGAAGGTGTTGCAGTAACCTTCCTCATCCAACTTGTCTACAGAGATGAGATTCAGGCGCATTTCTGGAACATGCCTGACATCCTTCAGCAGTAGCTTCGTACCATTCATCGTCTCCAAGCAGACTTCTCCTTTTCCGATAACTTTGGAAAGATTACCATTTCCCATTCTTACCACACCAAAGTCACCTGGTGTGTAAGATGCGAAAAATTCTCTCTTGGACGTCACGTGGATGGTAGCACCACTATCAACCACCCAGCTTGTCTCTTGGGTTGTCAGGTTGACAACAACTTCCTCGTAGACAATATTGAACTCATCTACAGAGTTTGCACCATCATCATCACTGTTCTCATCTCGTTTGCCCTTCTTTCTCTCATTTCTGAACTTTGGGCAAAATCTTCTGATGTGGCCCTTTTCCTTGCAGTGATGACATTGGATGTTGGCAAACTTGTTGGACTTCCCTCGACTCTTGCCTCTTTGCTTTGAGCCTCTAGCTTCACTTCTTCCTCTGCTTCTGGAATCCACTGTCAGAAGGTCTGACTGGGAAGATGATGAGGATGCACCTTGTGATCTCTTTTGCATCTCTTCGTTCAGGACTCTGCTTTTGACAATCTCCATGTTTATAACTCCATCTTTCGCAGAGTTGGTAAGTGAAATTTTTAGCGTCTCCCAAGATTTTGAAGGGAAGCCAGAACGAGGAGAGCGACCACCTCATCTTCCATCTTTATGCCCATACCGGACAACTGATCCACGATCCCTTGAATTTCGTTCAAGTGATCCGCCAAGGATTTGCCTTCCTTGTATTTCATCTGGACCAACTTGGTCAGATAAAATAATTTGTTGTTGCCGGTCTTTGATGCATAAAGTGCCTCCAGCTTGTTCCACAGAGTTCTGGCATGAGTTTCTCCGCTAATGTGGTTGTATACATTATCGTCGACGAACTGTCGAATGTAGCCACATACTTGCTCATGCTTGAACTCCCATTCCTCTTCAGTTTTGCCATCAGGTTTAGTTGGGCTAAACACCGGCAAATGCAACTCCGTCACGAGTAGGAGATCCTTCATCTTGTTTCTCCATATGTGATAGTTGGAGCCATTCAGACTTATCATCTTGCTTGTTTTTGCCTCCATTGGACGTGGCTCTGATACCACTTGTTGGGCGCAGCGGGTGAGAATAGCGGGTAAATATATTGCACTAATAAATTACATGCTTGTAAAAAGTTCACAGGTAAGTTGGACCTGGTGGCAGAGCCTCCAGAATTACGGTAACCAACTTACTTAGATCAATTTACTTCGGTAATTTGATAATGCAATATACTACGACTATTCTCAAAATAGCAACAAGCATAGATAATAATAAATGACACCGAGGATTTACGTGGTATACCCTGATTTTGGGCCAGTCCACGGCTACAGCAGCTCCGGAGTATTTCTTTACTATAACAATGGTAGGTTACAGAGATTTTCTCGATACAAGAAATAGAACACACGGTGTTTCCCAAACAACCTCACTATTTCACTCACAAGAAAATCTCCTATCTACCCGTGGTAGTGAAAACGTTTCACTACCAAAAAACCCACAAAAGAAATACGAACAGAAGCAGAGCAAAGGAAATGGAGAATTATGGAATGGTGAGGGATCATATTTTGAGGCTACTGCCTCTGCCTTTTATAGGCTAGCAAGGAAGAGGGGATTAATTCTAGTGGTTGGATTGCCAACCGTCATCTCCTCCCTCAATTTAAGTTTTGTTTTTTATTTTTTTTAATCACAATTTCCACCGCCAACCTTGTTGGCCTCTTCTCTACCACATGAGGAGGGCACAACAATCCAGTATCACCCCTTAAAAGACAAGTTTCAAATCTTCATTCAAAACCAAACCAAGCAAAATAAACGTTTGAAATCCAAACCACAATCATGCTTGGGTTTTAAAATCTTGGTGTCACAAGTTCTAACAATTACTCACCTGTCAAAAGGTGATAATGCCAGCTTCAATATGAAATTCACTAGAGATTAGGTAGCTGGAGGTGTGTCAACAGAACCTGGACGAAGAAGGGAATAATTAAACAAGGTACATGAATAAGTCTTCTCTGAAATCTTGTCTACTAAGTACTAACACAAGTCAAAGACAAGGATTTAACAGGTAATTGCAAATCAATATAATGAATTGTTTTCCATCCCGCCCAAGGACCACGTGCCCAGTAAGACCCTCCAATGCTAATCCATCACCTAGAGAATAATTCTGAACTTACATTCAATAAACAATCAACACGAAATCCTCTTTCCATGCACTCATGTCATAATAAGCAATAAGCCACTATAAACAGAGTGAAAGTTCACAGCGCTTCCTCCCCCATGAAGAAAACACTAAAGAACTCGCAAACTCTGAAGAAAGTACTAAATGCATATATAATTTGGTTTGACATAGGATTTAACCAACAGTTCATGTTCCCACTCAACCAAACACCAAGTCCTGTTCCAAACTGCCAATCCTTGTCATCCATCAACTTGAGCACATAATCCTCTGATTCCTCTTGTAAGAGCATATACACATGAAACCCCTTACGTCACGAAATAAGGATGAAATAGTTCCTTGTACCCTTCTTCCGGGAGAAAAGCATACCTTGATACAACCAGGGCAGCCCAAAAAATTATCGTCGGAAGGTGAGCATTCACCACCAGCAGGGACGCACGAGATGGAGGGTCAACCAAAATGCCACCGCTAAGGACGTTCGTTCCCTTCTCCCCAATTTCTAGGGTTCCCTACTGTAATCAAAGCCGGCCTTCCTATCGTTCAATCCAATTGGGCCGCCCACTTAACCTATTGGGTTTGGTCTGAACCTGATTGGGCTACTAACGACATTAGCTAAAAGATATATCTTGGGCTCCCAGCGGAAGAAAATCATAATTACATAATAACAATGACACCGGTCATCACAAAAATTATCACCACCTTAGGTTCTAGGCTTAAGAACACTAAAGTATACTTAAAAGTTTTAGTAGGAAGAAAAAGAATGAATTTTTGTTTGCCCGAGTATCCACCACCTGCCTCATATTTATAGTGGAAAAATTCTAAACGTTGCACTCTTGAAATTGTTTTTGGCTAACTGGCCATCCAAAAACGTAAAATCGTTGCATGACATTATTTCATCAAAATAATGGTTACTTCTTATGGTAATGACATAGTTTCATAATTGAAAGGAAATTTTCCTTCATTAATTAAATTATTGTATTTTCCAAGTCTAGGAATTATTGAGAGTTTGGTTCGTTCGGCCCAAACCCAATTAACAACATTAAGAATCGGTCTGACCATTCGACTCAAACCATATTTGCAAAATTCCTTCCCCATTTTAGTGTATTCATAGAATCCACTAAAATTACAACATTTTTCCAACAAAATTTAAGCATAAATGAAAATATCGCGACGATTGAATTTTCATTTTAGTATATTACACTTGATGAATATTCGAGTACAATTGTGTCGATCAAGATTGAACCCATCCATTCAATGAATATCTTAAGATAATATACACATAAAGTTTACAAACTTCTAAGTAACTTTGACACTATTACCTGCCATGTGTCACAATCCTTCTCACAACCGCACACGAAACCAAAGTCCGGGTTTCTTGAAGCGGCTGCACTTCATGCTGACGTTGGTTGAATATTTTATTTGTGTACCTGCATAATACACTGTCAATTAGGAAGTTTAAGCTTCATCCTCTTCTCTCATGCAGGATAACAAACACATACTTCGGGATGATGTATTGAGTGCTGCATTTTCTGATAATGAGTTTTCCTCATTGAATTCATCCTCTAACGTTGTATTAAAGGGGAGTTGAGTGTCCCATGGTCAGAAATTATATGAACTTTAAACCCGTCCCTTTCACAGACTTGACTACCAAGTCTCTAGCTAAACCTTTCATCAAATTATTAGCTAGATTCTCTAGGGTTCAGACATACTGTATAGACATAACTCAGTGAGTGATCAATTCACGGAGTTTACTATGTATAACTCCCAAATGGTGAGACTTTCCATCATACACTTCGCTATATTCCTTAACATAGTAGCATTACTATATCACAAATGATTAAATTGGTGTGATTGGTTTAGGCCATAAAGGACTGTCATAAACTAAATCTCTTAACCACTCTGCCTCTCCTCTGACTGAAGCTAAGACCACAAACTCTGACTCCATAGTGGAACTAGTGATGCAAGCTTTCTTCTTAGAGGCCCAAGAGATGAAACCTCCCCCAAGCAAGAAGACCCACACTGATATTGAAGTATGATCTTGAACATCAGAAATCCAACTAGCTTTAGTGTATCCTTTAAATAGATGGAAATCCACTATAATTCAATGTGCAATGCATTGTGCCTTTGAGATATATGAGTGCATATGCCAATGAAGAGCACTAGGACTACTAGTATAGCGACTTAGTTTTCCTTCTGCATATGCGAAATATGGTCTTGAGCAAGTCATTGTATACGTAAAAACCTTGGAATATTTCAATTGTGAAATTGATTGCCCATTATTAGGCAAAATTTCATACTTGGATCCATTTGTTTTTTTATTCACGACAAGTTTCACAGTGAGATTTAGCAAATGCCTTCTCAATGTATGGAGATTGAGACAAGGCTACTTCTTTGCTATTTGCATGTTTCGCTTGATTTTGATGCCAGAATCACAAGTGCCTCCCTCATGTCCTTTAAGGAGAATTTAGATGACAAAAACTCTTTAGTGAGGTCCACTTGTCTTTGATTAGTACCAAAGATAAGTATGTCATCTACATATAAACATATGATGACTCCGTTACTAGAAACATCAAATTTTCTTTATACACATTTGTCTCCTTGGTTTAAAATAACATAACAAGATCTCCAAAATCGCTTTATTTTGATACTAGAATCACAAGTGCCTCCCTCATGTGCCTTCTCAATGTAATGAAATCTCCAAAATCTTTAACAACATGTTTATCACTCTTATTCTGAGGAGACAAACGGTCGAGAACTTCAAGTACGTAAGGACGATAAGCCTTCTAAACATCTTCTACAAAATATTTGCAAAGACACTCATGTTGCGACTTAAACCTCACATGTCAACCATTATCTTCTCTTCGCAAATGGCTTTCATAAGAGAGCGACATATTCTTGATGTTGCTTTGATTGCCAATGAGCTTGTGGATGATACACTGAAAGTAAGCATACTCGGTAATTCAGGGGCGAACCTAGGGCTAGGGGAGGGGTGTCGCCCGAAAATTTTGTGAAGGACCTCCATTTTTTCGGTATAAAAAAATTAATTTGAGACTTCCGACAACACTCTTATAATCATAAGCGACATATCTTCATTATACGACAATAGTTTTAATGTTATAAAGTTATTCATTATAATTAGTAATTAACAATAATAAGTAAAATCAAATCAGCATGCTTGTTTGAAGTAACCCACAAACCAATTTAACTTGTCAATTTGTAGTTAATAGGTAAATTGCGTAGATTTATGGGAGATTGTGGTTTGATTTTGGTTAATTTGGTAGAACTAGAGAAAAAATGCTAATGATATTACTTTAGGCATACTTTCATTTGTCTAAAATTGTCAATTGGTAGATCGTGGTTTACTATATTTGATTGTAAACTAATTTATTTTAACTTTAACTTAAGATGTGGGTCGATTCTCTTTGGTTGAGTGACTAATTTATGAATGATTATGTAGTTGTGTATATCGAAAAATGTTTGATTTGCAACATAAGCGATGAATGTATTTTAAAAAAACTTCAGGATATGAAAAATCGTCATAATTCGTAGTAAACATGA